ACTCAACCGTCCTCAAAGTTGATCAGCTCCAAACCTATATTTTCAATAAATTTAACGAAATTAACAGTGTGTGCATTATAGTGTAATTTTTTCAATTAGAGAAGCTTTGCAGGTATTTTTTTACCTTGGGTTTGTTAGAAAATTAAGCGTGATAGCATTCCCAGTTTGGAATCTCCAGTGTTCGCGACAACTTTTTGACGTGAAAAAATATTTCTGAATTATTCAGCATTTAAAAAAGCATGCACTATTTTTTAAAGTCCTTCAATTTCATGTTCAGTGCATGGTGTCTGTAAAAGTAGATTTGGACTTCGAAGGCTTCAGATATTCTTTGTCTTTGTTTTTCATGGATTGGAAAAACATAGACTGACACTCTTTTGAGAGGCCACATCATTTTTGGATTAATGTCTGTAGTCCAAAAAGGCTTTTAGCGTTTCGCTCAAAATTGTTTAAATGAGCAAAATTTTCAAATTAGTACAGATTAAACTGCATTTATGTAAAAATACCTACATATAATTAGAAAAGGTAAATATGTATAAAATGTAACAGTCCTCAAACCTATTCGCTCCCACGACACAAAATCGACACTTAGCTCAAGCCCACTTATTATTGAAAATTTTGGGTATCTAGCACAAATATCAAAATAGCTCCTAAGAAACTCGGCAGTACCCTTTAAGCCCCTCAATATGGTTTCTGTCACAAAATCTGTTTTTAACTGGCATTTGCTACTTGAAAACTAACTTCCTACCAAAGTCTGTAGTAGAAAAGCTAAGGACTAAGTAGAAAAGCTAAGACAAATCTATAAATGTCCCCTCTTATCCGGCGCTGTCGCAGAATCCATGTCTTGTGCATAGGCTACCCTTCTGCCAAATTTAATGTTCATAGGTCAAACAGATTTTGTAACTAATGTGTGTGAATTTTTCCGCTGCTATATACATCTGCCCTCAGCTTGCCTTAATTCTTGTCCCAAAATTCGTTCTGAGCTAACAAAAAGTACTACGCTACGTTTCGTGTCCTAGGTCAAACAGTATGTGACTTAGCCTGAAAAGTGATAAGATTCCCCGTGGGAATATTCAACCCCCTCATACCCCGTAAAGGACATAATTTCTGCAATTCTTTGTTGAACTTCTTTATTTCAAAGATGACATTTTAGATAAGCCACACTCCTACTTCAAGGCTGTCCCAATTTACTCCAAAATGTTAACCCCCACTTCATCTCTTAGGAGTATAATTTCCAGAATTCATTTTTACCTGCCTACTTACATTATATTAAACAAGCAAACATAAGAAACACATCTATTATATCTCTAACTTATATAATAGTCACTTTTACCCCCTATCTAAACTCCTAAAGTTCTATTTTCACAACGTCCATCTCAAAAGTCTAATCTGCATTTGTGCCCAAATTGATCGTAATCGGCCAAGCCATTTTGGCGTGAATACGGAACATACAACTGTACATGTACACTTTCGCATTCATAGTATCAGTAGGGATAGTGAAGGTTCCCAAAACCAATGCAAATGATTCGCAGCGGATTCGTAATGGAGAATTCGTAGCGAATTTCATGGCAGGTTCTAGAGTAAGCCTCACACCAAACCGAATAGAATCGCAATATTTACGTTGTGCTTTCATATATATAAAAAAAAGAATGCTAGTGAAGAAAAAAGAAAATCAAATAGTTTCTTTGTAATCCTAAAAAAAATGTATATATCATCGGATGGATAAGAAGCACTATTGTTCCTTGCAATGGAAGAACATAATTAAAGGTGGAATAATCTTTATTACTATCTAAAAAATGGCGTGTTTACCATAGTGCGAATCTCTCATTGGGAATAAAAGAAAATGGATTCACAGCAACGTAGAAATACAAGAAACCATTCTGTATATTCATTTTTCAATAACAGTTGATTGTGTTTCTCTTCTTCTCTTTTCTATTTAGACCTTATCCTTTTTGAGAACATGCTTACAGTCTTCACGGAAAAAGTTATATAATATGGGGTTCCTTTTTTGCTTTTCAACGTTGCGAAATTACTGCAAATATAGCAAAACACGCAGCTGATTATGAAGTTCCCGTGCGGATAAATAATTCGAAGAAAATCCCACTAGTTCGAACTTGTGTGTTTTTGACAGTGCAATATGCTGCGAATCGTGTGTGGTGCGAATATTCGTACATATGCACTACGATTTTTCCGCATTGATTTGGGGGTCATTATAGAGGACCGTTCACTTGTCTCTAATAGACAGTGGAGAAAAAAACTTCAGGTATTAGGTAGTGATTATACTATTGTACAATTTAACCTAGAAGTAAACACTGTAGTATATGTAGTAATATCCAGAGATCGCTACAAGTAGTGCTCGTGTATCGAGTATTAATTGATCTAATTTGTATAACAATCGGCTTGCCCATTTGTGCTGGTTGAGGCATGCATGACCACAACAAATCCATTATATATTATGTATATAATGGATATGTATATAATGGATTTGTTCTATTATATATTGCAAAAACAACAGTGTTCATATTTTTTATTTAACTGACCCAATGGAAATGTAACCCTCCACCTCTATAAATGTACTGTACTTTGCTAGTTAGCAAATTTTTAATTGGTTTCGACCCGTAACAACCAATATGGGCCTATAGCTCGCTGGCGAATTGAAACTACTGAGCTTTAGGTTCGTTACCGAACAGCGTATAATTTGGATAGATATTTAATAGTATCAGCTCATGTTAAAAAAAAATTTGTTAGTACAAATATCAGAAAAATCCGGTTCAAATACCAATGTAACTGCATATATTGGAAAATGTGTTACAGTTTTGATGTAATTCAATCCCGATATTGTATGAGAGGTGAAAGAACAGACAGAAATTTTCCTAGTTATGAAACAAAAGTTGTACGATTTTTTTGATAATTTTGTTTTTCAATACAATCTTCCCTACACCAAAGCACTTGAACCATTTCTCTCCCAGTGCACCTATACCACTATATAAAAATGTTCATCTGAGTCAACGTATCACCTCCATAGATTTTTCTTCAGTAATCTAAAGAGCTAAAAGTCAGACAGAACGAAGTTTTGACTATACTCGTATAGAGGATGATCTATCTCAACGAAGCTGCATTCGTGCACAACTGGTCTAATTTTGACAGCCTTATGCGGTCGCATTAGCATGTAGCAGAAACACCACTCGATTAGAAAAATCGAGACTATTCTGGTGGACTGCTCTACATAACTGTTTCAGCATGTTTGCATTGACGTCCGCATTTACTGCTGGCCCTTTTGGCATATATGCCACTGATGTCTCAAAAAACTGTTGCCTTCAATTTTCCAGCATAGGATTGTGTCCGTTTCCTTTTGGGGAGTGGATTCTGTATTTGTCTCAGGATCCCTGTGATGCACAATTTGTGTCAAAAGATCAGAATCGTTGGTCAAAGTTTCCAAATGGCTTTCTGACACTTGCAACCGCACAATTTTTGTTCAGGGGTCAACCGTCGTAGAACTCACCTGGCTAATACCTTACTAACGTTCAAATTGTCATGAAAGATGGTTATTACGCTGATATCCAATATGTTCAATGCCACACGACGATCTTCGAGAACCATGGCTTCAAATGCTTAAGTCATTTCATCATTTATTGCTATTTTGGGTCTTCCACTCCTGGAGGCGTCTCCTATGGATTCACGCCCCCATTAAAGCTGTTTGATCAAAATTTTAGTGTGTATTACGATGGCGCATCATCCCCATAGATGGCAATTATTCTCTGAAAAATTATTTTCGGCTAACGGCCCTCTTTTGACAGACATCTTATGGCACTACGGTACTCTCATGTCTCATTTTTCTTCACAGTTCTCTTTATAAATTGGAAACTGATTATCAAAACTAGCTCAGATTTTGCAATTAAGATTAAAAAGCCAGAAATAAATTTAGTAAGTATCCCTAATGCTCTTTCATTGCAAACATTTTCTCGATGGCACTATTATATTCCAATGCTAAAAAGGTCTAGTAACTTTACAATGTTCTTGTAGGAAGAATGTATCCATAAAAGTCATTGCTTTTAGAAAAGCTGCTTACGTCACAAGGAAGAGAATTGAACCTTATATTACTGTGATTATTACATTTTCTCTTTGAATTTGTGAAACATGATAGTAACTAATAGGTAGCCTTTGAGATGACACATATGATGTATGGCAAATTAGTATACTAAATGCTCAAATGCTCGGTTGGAGTTGAATTGAATTGAATTGAAATGACTCTCTTAAAAATTTAACATGTGTTACTTATAATGTTATTAGATTATTAGATGCATGTCAGTGACAAAGATAATTAAAGTTGATTATTAATTTTGCTTTTTGTTACCGATTGCAGCCGCAATAGAAAGAAAAAACAAAAAAACAAACAAACAACATTAACAAATAACATTACAATGTAATGTTTAATTTACACGCATAAAATTAGAAATTAAATATCATATTCACTTATTCTGTCAACCGCTGTCTCAAAACCCGGCGTCGTCAATCGCATTTTATAAAAGTTTCGACAAGTCACAATATGAAATCTGCGCGCACCCCCGCCGCGCTCCGCTTAACTTTCATCACTTAGAAAACCTACCAGACGCGGATGAGCATATGTACATGTTTTGTTGAGAAATCTGTTTAAGTGTGTCAAATTATTGTGTCTCAATGTTAACAGGTAAGTTTGTGTATTTGCAAACTTCAGTTACCATTTTTATTTAATTTACTAAATTGTTGATTGAGTGGAGACGCGTTCACAGATCGGTCATTGGGACTACTTTGCCGCATCACAATCAAATCAACGTGGCGAAATAATTTTGAAACGACGAATTTAAGTACCTAATATTGATACCAAATGTATTAAAGATAACTATTATAACGTCAACCTGCCTACAAAAATATAAATCTCCCGGTGGCCAATATGCTGTTGAATACACTACTACATGTAGGTATTTTGCTTATTTGTTTATTACTTATTTGTTTTATTCTTATAGGTGCAAAATGGCACCGAAAAAAGTAAGTTTTCCTAAGATTACGTTAAGTTTGGATTTACATGCATAGAAAACGATGAGTTACAATTGTCACAGTGAGTGATATGTATGAAAGTTTTAAGTAATGATAGCATGAGGCACAATCGCCTTGAAAGGTATTTGAAGCAACAACATCCTACTCTGGTTTTGAAGACGAAAGAGTTTTTTTCTTCTAAAGCAGAATCACTCAAGCGGATGAGACTGGATAAATCGGGAAGTTATCACACAGGTGTATCGCAGCATCTCAAAGCTTCATTTCAAATAGCTTTTATGATAGCAAAGCAAAAGGAACCTCATACTATCAGTGAAGAATTAATAAAACCATGTGTCCTAAAAGCCACGCAGATAATTTTAGGAGAAGGTGCGGAGCAAAAAATGAAGTCTATTTCTCTTTAACAGTCAACCGTAGAATCGATGACATTGCAGCAGACATAAAGTCACAAATAATTAACAAAGTTAGCTGCGATGAATCCACCGACATCGTTAATTGTGTACAGTTAATAGTTTATGTCTGTTACATCGGAGGAGATATCATTCAAGAAGGGATTTTGTACTCCCAATCTTTGACAGCAGGTACTACATCTGAAGATATGTTTAATTCAATATCAAATTTTGTTGAAAATAATGATTTAGATTGGAAGAAGCTCATTGGACTTTGCACAAATGGCGCACCTGCAATGATATGTGTTCGATCGGGCTTAGCTAAAAAGCTCAAGCAAAAAAATCCCGCAATGGTTAGTACACATTGTGTTATTCATCGGCAAGCTTTGACTTCCAAAACATTCCCTCAGAAATTACGCCAGACCTTGGACTCGGCTATAAGGATTGTAAACTACATCAAGGGCAGCTCTTTGAACAGTCGGTTATTTTCGTTACTTTGCGAGGATCTCGATTCTGATCACAAAGTTCTTGTGTTCCATACAGAAGTACGCTGGCTGTCCAAAGGCAACATGTCGGCTCGCCTTTATGAATTGGAAGAAGAGGTTGTCACATAACCTTTTGTTTTACTATTTATCATTTATCCGTAATTTGAATTTCTCTTCATTGATAATAGAGAGCTCTTTCCTGGGCCAAACCCTTTTCAATGATTTTCTGTTGGCAAATTTAATAGTTTATTGATTGTATAATTTCACTCGTATTATATCTTTCTTCTCTGTAGTTTTTCTCCGTTAGATGGTTTCCTATAAAACATATCTCCTTCAAGGTCACTCAAGATACCTTCTTCGAGAACGTTACGTGTTCTGCGTGATTCGCTTTTCTGTTTCCGTTGAGGTCGTGGTGCAGGGGTCGTTTCGTCGTTTTCCGGACTTTGGAATGTTAGGCCCCAAGCGCCCATTCATTGACTAGCACCCTTTTTGTTGTGTAACTTAAGTTTAGTTATTTTGGTTTGGGTGCTACGTCTTCCACTTTTTATGGGATTTTGACCTTCAGTGAAACAGAAGAAAATCATCATCCTTTCTCCTCCAGTTAGTTGCATCTTGTTGCAGTCTTGCAAATTGGAAGCCATCCCCTTGAAAAAAACCCTGTTCACATCAGGGTAATTCTTTTTCTTGAGTTGAAAGAAAAATACGACTTCTTGACAATTTTCAAAGATTACACATTTCAATGGAAGTTGGCTTATTTGACTGACATATCTGACTCATTGAATGAGCTAAACTTGAAACTTCAGTGCAGAAACAACACTATAATAAGCAATTATGATTCAGGGGTTCATATCAAAGCTTCAACTTTGGAATCAAAAAGTGTCTTCTGGAAATGCTATATCTTTTTCTCGGCTTTTTGAAGCAACTAAAAATAACATACTGGACGTACATTTAAAACCTGACATAAAAACTCATTTGCAAGCGCTGGAAGACGAAGTTCGCCGATACTATCGAGACATCAATTCAGAGTCACTAATATGGCACATGACAAGAAATCCATTGATTGTCGATGTGTCACAATTACCAGAAGAAGTTCAGGAAGAATTTCTAGAAATGAAGGCTGATTCGTCCATGAAAGATGACTTTTCACATTGGAGAAATTTTCAAAAGATTGCCTATTAATTCGACATTTGCCTCTCTTGCTTTTCGAATACTAGTTCCTTTTTCTTCAACTTACTTTTGTGAGACAGGCTTGACTGATCTAATTTTAATCAAAACTAACCAGCGAAATCGTGTTGATATCGATAGCGACCTGATGATAGCTCTGGCAAAAACAGAGGCTAGAATCAACCAACTGGTACAGAACATGCAATCTAAAGTGTCTCATTGGTACCTACTCTTATTTTATTCAAGTTTTTCGATAACTAACATTGGTTAGTTTATTTAAACTTTTAAAGTTTCTTTACTAGAATTAAAATAAAAGTCTTTGTACCTATATCATGTGTTTTTTTTTGTATTAATTGAAAAATTAAATGAGGGCATGTAAATATAATTTATAGTCCGGGGAGCCTCAACAAAAAAAAGATTGGGAAACCCTTCTCTAGAGGATAAACTTATGTCCCGCGGTGTGAAATTGGCGATGGGTCAAATAAGTAAAATATTTATCTAAGACCATCAAAGGTCAAAATGGAGTAGCTTTTATGAAGAATTGAGGATACATAATATAAGTTACTCAATCGCCTTAGATTTTCAAAGAAATCCTGGATCTGAAAAGTGAAATATAACGCCTAGAAAACCTGATCATAAAGTGGCTGCCTCGTCAACCACGGTAGCTGCTGGGAAAAAGCTAGGCTATTTGTTTAGGGCTAAGAAGTACTTTTCTTCACATAATCTCATCACAAAGTACAAGGTTCAGAACCTCAGATAATGCTCACAGGTGCTGCCGGCCCGATCAAATTCTTCATGCTTGATGCTGTATAGAGCAAAGCTGACCGACTGATCGATGATTTTTCTCTAACGGACAGTCACGGACCTTATCGCAGTCCTGACTATGTCGAATCTCGTACTTGAGGATTAGCATCCTCCTTGATGCCACCGCTCATTGCGCCTGCCAGGCGAACCCGCCTGTCTTCGGCCTTCCACCCTAAGCATGTCGAACCTCGTAGATCCAAAGGTGGTCGGTACGACCGCTACCTTATTCCTAAGGTTTCGAATTTTATCAACAATCTTCTTGAGTATGCTTTTCCCAGTTTCACTAAACTTCATAAATCGGATGAACAAAGTGTCCTTTGTGGCAGTCACGGTGCTTCTGTATAAAGAAATATTTATTGCTCGATCGTAGATAAATGAAGTGAAGTTGAAAGGGTAAAATGGGGAACTTTACCAACCACAAATCCTGCGTACGTAAGTGTTAACGTTAGCCTCATTTATCACACGCAAGTGATTGACTTGTATTAATGACAACTGTCGAATAAGTTTAACGTTTACCCATGTGGTATCTGTGATTGCCACTCTCTACTGACACGGGTTATTCCGAGGGTGGTTTTTGCTTCTGCTCAAGCTTCTCCAGTCGTAAGCGTTCAGAGTTTCAAGTATATCCTTCCTCATACTTTTTCAAAAAATCTACGTATCTGACCTCCCACCAACGCACTTATCTTTCCACCGTTTCATATCGAGGTTGTTAAGTTGGCAGTTACTGAATACAGCGTGTTCTGAAATTTCGGACTTTCCTTTTGAGAAACCACTATGTTTAAACAAAAATGATGTGCAGCAAAAACGTAAAATGGTAATTGAAAAAAGTGCTCACTATTGATTTCAAGTACTACCATGTCACTTGTTTTACTCGTAAATAATGTTGCAGTTGTCGCCGTTCGATTCAAAATTTTTTTAACTTCTTAAACTTTAAACTTTTGCACTCAGAAAAAAAATACAATCAAACCAATTAAATTATTAATTAGGCCAATTAAAAAATTCAATTAACTATGTGACAGATAATTAGCGTAATTGAACTCCGATTACTAAAATAGCTCACTTGATTAATGAAACTAGTTTAAATAATCCAAAACGCAATCGATTAATCAAATTTGCTAACCGTTCACTCAGTTCGAGTACATTAGTTTACTCAAAATTGATAAACTATCAAAATTACCTACTCCAAGTAAAATATTTTACTTATATCTATTTAACTGTGTTTAATTAGTTTAAGTTAAAGTATTTGCCTAGCCTTAATGAAGTATTTTATTTAGATTTAAAAGTATTTCAATTGATCACCATACTTGATCCACTTCACTGCTACTATACTAACAACGGCCACGTTAGAATATGAGCTCCTCGCGAAAATCGCAAATGAAACTGAGGAGTTCGGAGCGCGACACCGACATTGCGCCTCTCGCATACTCCCGATCATTCTCGAATGAAGGGCAGAGTCCCGCAGACTCCGCGGTTCAAATAAACAGTCTAAGGGCCGATTTCACCAACATTAATATTATGGACCAATGAGAAAATACCTTATCGAAATGCAATTTGACGGAAGCTGTCAAAGGTCTCAGAATATCAGTGATTTCTATTAAAATGTTGAGTAAAATCGTGAAAATTCGACTGTCTTATAAACAAGGCCACTTTTTGATTCCAACATGATGCTTTTGTACAGAGAAAACAGGACATCTTTCATGTATTTTGATTTATGTTATAGGTGTACATTTGACCATCCGTTATCCCCTCAGCGAATGGGAATGGGAGAAATAATAGGTCGATTTTCTAGCTGTTAAATTTGGCAGCAGGTTGGGTCGTTTGTTCATTCATGGCAATCTCGAAATTTGTTAAGTTCAATATACTGTGTGTATATGTGATCATTATAGCTACACATACCTGTTGAATTGTGCGGATTTGCAAGGAAATAGAATATAAAATGTATTCCAACCAATTCCTCATCTCTCTTTACATCATAGTAGTAAACATTTGTTATAAATTCTCCATCCTAAAACACCGATATGTGTAAAACATGTTAATCCCTACATCTCCGAGGTGCATAATGCAATTATTGTAGACATAGACCTAAAATTATTAGTAATTACTGAAAAATAAGAGCTAAAAAGAATTATAAATAGTGATAAAATATTGGTGGTTAAGGTTTTTGACTGGCGACTGGTGGGGATACAATATAGGGATGGCGACGATAGACGAAACATTGATGTATCGAAAACGTCGATACATCGGACGTAGAACATCGATCTTTACGCATCGATGATTTCATGACGATATATCGATATCGAGAGGAATCATAAATATCCGTAACCGTATACCCCGAGTCTATCCTTGACTGTGCTACCATCTCTAAGCGAGAACTGGTAGCTTCGAAATTGAAAGGCCAGAAAGCTATTTAGGTGTTTAGTAGTATTTGAATATTACCATTACAGATGAGCACTGAGCCACTGAGTGGCCACTGAGCACTGTAGTCTTTTCTTCATTCTGTACTTCCCCAAGGGATAGAATAAAATAGACTGAAAACAGCGCGTTTAATGATTTCAGTTCTCAGAGAAAGATTTTCCCCTGCCGGCCCTTGACATCGTTTCGAAATATGAAATTCTGGAAACGCTA